CAACCAAACCAAACCATTTCCTGTCAAGTTGATTCTGGGACAGAGCAGAAGTATTCCAAAGGTTTCCAAGGCTTTAATCATTAGAAGTCCCGGTGTGGCACTGCTAGATAAAGCCTTGGGCCGCCCCACCACCACCACCCCTACTCTCTTTTGTTGATTGCTAAGATTTGCAGCTGTGGACCCACTATAGGGTGAAGAGAATCGAATGAGACAAAGGACTTCTGACAAATGCATCCCCTTCAGCCTGATGGCAGACAGGGCTTACTATTTGTCAGCTGGGAATGGTGTGAACCCTTGTCACTCTAACATTCCTCATCCTCTGCCAAGACCTAAAGCAGTTTGATCCTGTTGCAGTTGCTCATGCTGCAAGAACGTTTTGCAATGGGCTTTTCATTGTAGGTCACTACTATGAAAAAACTAAAATACTATTTTAGTCCATCATTCTTGAGAATGGCAGTGTTGGTAGGCACTCATTGCTTGTTGATCATCATTAGTACAGTAAAAGATTTGATTCCCTAATTATTACTCGTTCTTTGAAGCTGAGATGGAGGCCTGCTTATATACCCAAATGCCAATTTCTTGACAAATATTTCCTGGGGAATTCCCAAAGGCAGAAGTTGGTATGTAATAGCATTCTTTTCACACCCTGTAAATGGAGATGTTGGTATTTTAGATAACTTAAGAGTGACAAGAGAGAACTGTGATTAAGACTTCTTTGGTCTTTCTTAAAGAAAGATAACGTAGATCTTGGCCACCTGCAAAGACCTTAACCTGAGTATACACCAACCCAATGAGCAGCTTAATGTGGTGGTGGTGGTGGTGGTAATGAAGTGCCATTGAGTCAGTTCTGACTCATCGTGACCTGTGTGGGGTTTCCAAGGAGAGGCTAGTGGGTTTTGAACTGCCGACCTTATGGTGGTTACCAGTACAGTGCTGATTCTACAACGCCACATACAATGCATGGAAGGGTTATTTGGGTCACATGGAGCCATTGGGGTATGTAACAAATATGGATGAAATAGAATGACAATCTCAACCACTGCTATCGAGTCAATTCCAACTCATGGTGACACTATAGGGACAGACTAGAACTGCTCCTGAGGTTTTTCAAAACTGTGAATCTAAAAAGAAGCAGACAGCTTCATCTTGCTTTCATGGAACTGCTAGTGAGTTTGAACCGACGACTTTGTGGTTAGCAGCCCAATGCTTAGCTCACTTTGCCCATTTAACAATGGGCAGAAGTATTTTCTGAGATCCTCTTTATTAAGGAAACAATGATGTATATTGCCTGTTCTTTAGTTAGATGGTGGCCTGGCTCCTGCTATCAGGGACCCTCATTTTGTTTTTTATTCATGAGTATTGTAAGTCACCCCTGGAGAAAAATTATGAAGTCTTCCTGATGTCCTTTAGCTGTTTGACTTCTGTTTTTCCTGCTGTGTTTTGATTCATCTTAAGTTTAAGATAATGTCTATATTATTCTGGGAAATAAAAATAGTAGCTTTTCTAGAACATGTGACAGTGTGTGAATGGACAGGGGGAAGAACAATGATTTTGTGTATAGGACCACTGGAATCTTCATAATGTATAGGATGGAAAAAGGTCAGGAGATTGGTTTCAGAATTAGTGGTTGGAAGAAATACTAATTCACAGTTTGAATTTTTACTCATGCTATTTTATGGATGGTGGTGGTGGTTCTGACTCATACTGACCTTGTGTAGATTTCCAAAGCTGTAAATCTTACAGAGTGCCTCATATTTCTCCCACAGAGTGGCTGGTAAATTCACACTACTAACTTATAGTTAGCAGCCCAACTTGTAACCCACTACACTACCAGAGTTCCGTATTTTATGGATGTTGTTGTTATTAAGTGCTGTCAAGTAAGTTCTAACTTATAGCAACTCTGTTTAGGGTTTCTAAGGAGCAGCTGGTGGATTTGAACCACCAACTTTGTGGTTAGAAGTCCAGTGCTTATCCTACAGCACCACATCAGGGCAAAATGAAGCTAAAATTCCCTGTTCCTCAGCGGTAACTTCTTGTTTCATAATGTATTTATGGCAACTTCTCTTTCTTCATATTCAACCCATTCAAAGTCCTTTTCTCTCTTACATCCCTGCCATCCTCATCGGTTGCCTGAACTACTGAAGAACCTCTTAATTCATCTCCTCTCATCTGGCCTGCTGTCCATCCACTGATTGCCTAGCTTTGTCTAGTGAATCTCGCATTTGTAACAGGTTGTATTTGTGTATACGACGATTTGTTGAATTCCTATCTTCCCCATTAGCATGCAAGCATTTGAGGTCAGAGATTACATCCGATGTTGTTTACTATTCTATCCTTAGTGTCTTCCACCAAGTCTGGCTATCAGTGAGGGCTTAATCAATATTTGTGGAGTGAAGACACTACCTGTCACATAATAGTTATTTCTTAAGTGAGATTTTTCCACTGCTATCTGTCATCATCATTACCACCCACCACCACCATCACCACCAGTAGCTAACAGGGAAAAAAGAGTGCTTATAATTAGACTTTGTTGTTGTCAAGTAACACTGAGTTGGTTCCAACTCATAGTGACCCTTTATAAGGTTTCCAAGGAGTGACTGGTGGGTTTAAACTGCCAATCTTATGGTTAGCAGTCCAGTGCTTATTCCAGCGCCACACCAGATATTGTTAAATTTTCTCCCACATTTTGAGCTTCGAGGATTCTGTGAAAGAAAGATGGTGTTTCCAAGTAAGGATGACCAAGACACTTCTAAATGAAATATAGAAAGAAAATGATCTTTCATTTTTCTCACATATAACTCAAGCTTAAGATCAAATCTATTCAGAAAGTGGAGCCAAACAGGACTATTACCTTAGACCAGGTACATTTTACCTGAAGGATTATTATCCTCATTCATAAAATGCAATGTGAGGCTTTCTAATGGGTGATTAAGGAGCATCAAGGGAAGACCAGACTACTGTACTGGAGATTAAGTTTTAAGAAATTCTCTGTCTTCAGAACTACTTTTCAATGAACATTTTTTTTTACTAGAAATTGGAATTTGTTGGGGGGCAACTTCTAATATCCAGCTACAGGAAGAACTAAATCAACAAATACAGAAAAGCGTCATATTGGCATAGCATCCTTTCAAGTCTCAAAAATAATTGTGTCCACTCGATGCCTCCACTGACACTTACCTGACCATGCAAGGAGCTTTATGGGACCAAGGACACATGCAACCTTCTACCATACAGTGAACATTTTCTCTCTATTCAAAATCATCTTGCTTCTGTGAGAATCAAGCCTCCAGTACTCAGCTGCTAAACGAAAGGTTGGCAGTGTGATCACACCCAAGATCTGGAGATCTGCTCCTGTATATGGTGCAGCCTAGAAAACCCTGTGGGATAGTGCTACTCCATATCCTAAGGGGTCTCTGTGAGTTAGAATAGACACGATGGCAAACAGCAGCAACAAGACATCAATAAACCATCTTCAAACCATACCTCAATTTCTTTCCCCACCCTTTTCTACAGAAATATTCTTTCCAGTTCAGATTATGACAGATTGACCATCAGGATTATTAAATCTAGTTGGACTTGGAAAGGGCTCCATATTTTTACATTTGGCAGTGCCATACATGGTATTTTCGTTGCTCTAGCCCAGATATAATAGTATATAATGATTTCAGGTAATGCATTTATGTTCTGCCTTTCATGGTGATCTCCTTTCCTATTTTCCATGAATAATGTATATATCAGTTATCTATTGCTACATTAACAAATTACATCAAAAGCTAGCAACTTAAAGTTGGCAAGCATTTAGTGTTTCTGCAGGTCAGAAATCGTGGCACAGCATAGCTGGGTTCTGTGGATCAGGGTTTCTTACAAGGTTGGAATCAAGGTGCTATTATTTCAAGTCTCACTGAAGGAAGGATCTGCTTTCAAGCTCACTTATGTGGCTGTTTGCAGCCCTCACACCTTCACTGGTTGCTGGCTAGAGACCTTCTTGTCTTTCCACATGAATCTCTACTGTGAGGGCTACTCACAGTATGGCAGTTTTCTCCTGCCATAGTGAGGGTTCTGAAAGAGATGGCAATAAGATGGAAGCCACGGTCTTTTTGTGCCTTAATGTCAACAGTAGCATTCCGTCACTGAAGCAAGTCATGGGTCCATCCCACACTCAAGAAGATAGGAATATACAAGAGCATGGGCCAGGAGGCAAGGACCATTGGAAGTCATCTTAGATAGAAGCTGCCTGTCTCAGCAGAGATTTTGTTCTCCCTAGGCTTTCACTTACAAGCCTTTTATTCTTTGGTTATCCTGGGTTGCATATGCTTCTGGGTCTCAATGCCTTGCCAAACGTCTCACTCAGAAAAGGAAGCAAGAGGAGGAGTGATGGTGGGGTAGGCTTTGCTAAGAATAGCTCCCAAGATGATAATGATTTTAATTTTCATTCCACATTGTGCATTGACAGTGAATTATGGTGAGGACCCCAATCACTCCTACTTAGCTTGTCTGAGCATCAGCTTCCCGATGACTAACTTAATAGTTTACTAATGAATATATTAAAAATAGAGCTCTTGAGGTTATAGATATAGAAGGCGTATATTTAGACCTTGGGTTCCATTCCCTTCCTGCATCCATTCTACAGTCTTGTACAGAAGCTTAGTACAAGATGCTAATTTGAGATCATTCTGAAGCTTCATCTACTGTATTTTAATATACATGTTTAACTTTTTCCAGCCAATTTTGATATAAATGCCTCAGCACCAATTAAGCCACCTTCTAATTAGCTAAATTATCTTGTACAAATCCTCACTCATTCTCTTTTAAGATGCAAGAAACAAAGGAAGAAGAGAATTACTAGTATTTTGGAGAGGCTCACCTTGGAATATAAATGGAGAAAAGTATTGTCATAATTTCTAGTAGTGCTGTAAATGAAAATTTGGTAGAGGACAAAAAAAAAAAGCGAAACAAAAAAATATGACAAATCTCTCCACTTTTTGTTGCCTTTTGTACAGATTGTTTCCCAGAGAAAGCTGTCCAAATCCTTGCTGAAGCATGGGAACACAGCAGGAAAGTCCTCCATCACGGTAAGCCTCCCAAAGCACACATCTGGCCAAGGTGCAGAAGCTTGGTGGAGCTAGCTGGTCAACGCAAATGTTTAAGAAACAGATCTATGGCTTTTGGAAATTGATTCCACATTTGCTGAACTACCTAGGCCACCCTTTTCCCCCATTTCTTTTTCCTTCCTGAATTGGAATTTTGACCCATCCATCCCTAGAAAAAGTGGCAAAGAAAAAGGATTTGAAAGTAAGGTCATTCACTTCTACTTAGCATGTCTTCAAGTATAATATAAGTTTTAGTTGGGGGAAAAGAAAGAGTTATCCAGCACAGTAAGAATCTTAAATTGTCTAGGGTTAGCAATCATCAAAGATATCTATCCCTGTCATTTGTTTCTGTAGAGAATTAAAAATTTGCTCCAAGAAATAAGCTAAAGATAGATTTAGTCTAAGGTTCAGTTTGTTGCCCAAAAACCAGAGATCCAGTATTTAAATTTCCTAGCAGATAATAATAGTTTAGAGCTTTTGGCTATTTAGACTTCAGTAAAATTATTTCAACTTAAATAAAATCAAATATTCTGTTTTCTTTCCCATGCTAACCACATAGCAAGTGCTCAATAGTCAAGTACGGCTCCTATCTTGGACAGTGTAGATTATATTCATATATTTAGTATCATTGCAGAGTATTTTAGTGGGACACACAAGGAACATTTCTAAATAAGATCTTACATTTTCAAGTAGAACTCACAGTATTTGAAATTTTGACATCTCGTATTAGCAGCGGTCTTGAGAAATGGCCCAACCATTTAGCTGTGTGAAGTCGGGGCGGGGGGAAACAAACTAGAAAAAAGTACCAGGACAATCTGAATTACAAGGGAGGTAAATTGTCAGTAGGAAAATATCCTGAGTTCCTTTGAACATTCTGTTTTACCTTGAGAATGACTGATTCACTTTTTAAAAGCCAATTTCAGAAAAAATTTAAAAGCATTCCCAGTGACCTCACAAGAACTTAACCTGAGTTTATTGCTTAAACATTTTAAAAGACACTGCCATGTGGAAATATATTTTTAACTGCAACAATCAAATGAGTGTTTGAAGACTCCGTTGGCACTCTGCAAAACCATGTACTGAAGGCCTCCCTCCGAAAGCCCACACCCTAGTAGAGTATTGGAATGTTGGATTCAGGTATCCAATGTGCCATGGTTCTTCCACAGGAGAAAAAAATTCTCACCTAGGAACCTTTCTTGTAACAATGTTGGAGATTTTCTTCCTCCACACATTCTTGATATTTTTTATTCTTTTTCTTAATTTAAAGCATTTAAAAATCTCCCCTTAATCTTATGTCCTTGGATCAAGACATTGATTTCAGTGAGTTCTAGAAAACACTTGAAAATGCGTGCAGAATTCTGGATCTCTGAGGATGGAGATCAGAGCTCTCATCAGCTATCCAAAGGTGGTATCCATTACTGCTAAATAGTTAAGGAGCACCAATCAAGTGGCATTTAAGATATATTAGATCATAAGGGACAAAAGAGGCCCAAATGAAAAAATAAATATGATGGTTCCTGGTTTATCACACATTCCTCCAGCTTTTACTACCTACCTAGACTCATGTTCTCTACTTTTCCGTTGATCAAATTTAGAGTGGAGGGGTTCCCTCTTTAGAGAATATTTTTAGCTTTAATAACTTTAGTTTCTCAGATATTAATAAATTTAATGTAAAATAACTTAAATATCTCAGACGCTACCAGTGAGTACTCAGAACAGATTGTCCCAAATCATAATGGTACAGTTGAACGCAGAAAGAACTGGAATGGAATAGAATTAAACTTCAGGGTCTCAACATATCCAATTTGACATGGATGCCTTGGCTGTGCTCCCTGAACATCTGGTGGGTGACATTGCAGTATCATTTATAAAGGACTTAACCTACTAGCTGACCCACAGATTGTTGTTGTTGTTTGTTTGTTTTATCACCAGTCTTGCCACTAATTTCGGGTCCTAGAGTTTGAGCATCACTGATTGCTAAATATGGGAAAGTAATGCATTATGATAGAGGATCTTGAACACTCATTTCTTCATGTTCATGAAATTCTAGTCAGGAAAGCTCTGTCCTGAATGTTAAGGCCTCAGACCCTTACTTTTGTCTCCTCCTTTGACTCTTCCTGTCCTCTTCAGCTCTGAAATCCCAGGGATAGAGAGCCTTTAAAACAATAAAAGGATTAGAACATTTCCATGACAACTGTACAATCATTGGTCAAGAAAAGACATAAAGGCCAATTTAGTCCCCCATCCCTTGGTGGTTTGACTCAAAATAGTGAATAAATATTACCGCTCTTCCTCCTTTTTAACTTCCCAAATGGGAAAAAATACATATATGTAGTTATTCATGGACGTTTCATCAACTTCTATGTGACGTTTAAAGAAAGAAGCTCTTTCTAACTCCTACTCCAAATACCTCTTCCTCCTGCTTACATCCCATCTCTCTTCTTCTCATGCACAACACAAATAAGATCTAGGTAGACTCAAAATAGTGAATAAATATTACCATCCCTCCTCCTTTTAACTTCCCAAATGGAAAAAAAAATATATATGTAGTTATTCATGGAAGTTTCATCCACTTCCATGTGACATTTAAAGAAAGAAGTTCTTTCTAACTCCTACTCCAAATACCTCTTCCTCCTGCTTACATCCCACCTCTCTTCTTCTCATGCACAACACAAATAAGATCTAGGTATCTGCTTTCTATTTCCAAAGAGTTTCCTTCTACCCCTGGAAATGCTGGGCCATGTTCACCAGGCAAGGCCCAGAATTATGGAAAAATTATTTGTCCAACCTTTGTTCTGTTGATTTGGGACCAAACAAGAACTAAATTTGCTCCTAGGTGGCTGAGCTGAGTGGTCTACCCTCTACTGCAACTGATGCATGCTTTTTCATTTAGGTGATTGCTGAAGAATTATCTGGCAATGATGACTATGTTGAACTTGCATTCAACGCACGGAAATTGGATGACAAGGTAAAAGTGTTTGGCATTAACCTTATTGAAGGAAGTAATAAAAGAAGCACACACAGTTTAATCAGATTTCCCCCTGTAGATATTTTTCCCTTTCAACCCACATTATTAAACAGATCAAAGATTTCCAAGAGGTCGGCAAAGTAAGGCTTCCCTCAAATTGAGAAGCAGTTAATGGAGGGACTCTAATTAAAAACCAGGACAATTTTATTAGACCGAGACTTCATTTGTTCCCCAATACCACAGGCTATGTATACTCATGCAGGTATCTCCATTGCTATGGAGATTCCAAGGGAAAAGAGAAGATGAGAAAGGGGAGAAAAGTGACATTTATTAGACACTTATATTTCTCAGCTACAGAATGTAGAGCATTTCATGCATTATCACATTGAGTTATTCTAATAACCCCATGAAGCCAGTATTATCATCTGTTCACAGATGAACAAACAGATTCAAGGATGAAGTAACTTGTGTAAGTTCACTCCATGCAGTATCCAGATACTCTAAGAAGCAGATATCAAAATAGGATTAAGTTTCACAGGTTTTATTAGGACACATGTCTGGGGAGGGAACCAAGTAGGAAAGTCTGGGGGAGCTGACAGACCACCATGTAAGTCTGACCGTGAGTGAAGAAGAGAGGAAATGAAGAATGAATGAAAATGTTCTGAAGTGTCACACAGTCTGAGGAAGGAACCCGACAGCTAAAGGTAGCTCCCTAAGGAGTTCCATGTCTGCCAGGAAGGGGGCTGCCTTCATACCGCCTATGCATTCAGCCACTGACTAGGAGCAGACCAGGAGAAACCCGCCTGGGTACAAACTAAGTGGGTGATTGCAAAGCACAGCAGCAGGGACCCTTAGTCAGTTATACTCCTGTAGTTGGATACCTCCAAGGCACTTTCTCCAGACCACTCTACTCTGTTGTGGGTGGTGGTGGTTATGTGCCGGGAAGTCGGTTCTGACTCATAGCAACTCTGCTAGTAACTAGGAAATGTGAGGACTCAATCCCAGGTCTGTACTCCTTCTATTATACCTTGTAACTAATGCTCAATCACAGGCCATATTAGTCTTGTCTGTACAGAAAAAGTTCTACAAGACTGTTTTAGAAGAAAACAGCCCTCTCCAATCTCACTCTATGATATCTGTATTTTTCCACTAACCTTACCCTTAAAAAAATAAAACAAGACATTACAACAAATTAATGTTTTCACATAGGACCCAATTTCCCTTGAGTGAAACTAGAGCATGGGGAATTGGGGGATGTTACACCACTTTTTCAATGACTTATAGGCCTTAAGCTGAAAAGGTAAAGAGATTTCTCAAGCAACTCCCTAAAGTCTTAAGTAGTGGCTTATATTCTGAGTGTATCTCCATCACTTCTAACCTACAAAAAAAAAAAAAAAAAAAATTATGCATTCATTGGTTCACTCTTTTATTTGTTCATTTATTCACTCATTCATCATACATTTTATTAAATCTTCACTGGGTGCTTGTTATGCACAAGGTGCTAGAAAAAAAAAGACATGCTTTAAATCACTTCCATGACGCATCCATAAATTTCAACAACAAACAATATAATAATACTACTGCCATGATAGGCAATAAATCCAGTAACAGATGTATAAACAGAATGTTCTGGAAAGAGTAATTTATTCTCCCTAGGGTCATCAGGAAAGACTTTATCTTTATAAACGAATTATATTTGGGTGATTTTTAGTGTCCTAAGGAGATTGTGTGACACAGTCGCTAAGTTCTACCTCTCAACATTAGCCTGAGTTTTGTGCTCAGAATTACAGTGCATTGACATTATTAAGTGTGAGCTTTTAACCCTCACCTCCCCATAACCATTGATGCTCCTTCTTCCCCATCATCTCCTAAAGTTTCAGAGTAATTAAAAAAACTGCTTTGTACCATCTTCCCTGGCATCATTAGAAGCTATTGGGTCAGCATGTAGCAATTTTAAGTTACTTAATGGCTTTTAATGACTTCTCTCCACTTAGTCTAATAAGTACCTCTGATTTGCTCTCTAGCTGACTTATGTTAGCGTGCAAGTGAGGTTGGGGTTTGGTTAGCAGACTCTTTGGCAATGAAGTAAGTGCATAGTTTTCCTTCAGTCAAATACCCTTTGTTTACAGAACCCAAAGAACACCTCTAGCATTTGCTATGGTTCTGGATGGTACAGCCTTTCCAGTTCTTGGCTGTACTGATTTTCCAGGGCCCTGGCCATTGCTGAGCCTCATATCCTAGAGATCCAGATCCAGATACTTGATATGTGGCAGTGTCTTGTCCAGACTCCTTAGAGAAAAATAGGCCGTGGTTAGAACAAACAGCTTCAATTGTGACTGAAAGGTGACTGATCTTAGGTGGAAAGAGGGTGAAGCTCTAGAATCAAGGAGCCTTAAACTTAGATGAAACCATGATGACCAACTTATATAATCTCTTCTGGAAACCAAGCCACCGTATGGTCTGATGACTTAACTAAAGACATAATACTGTTGCTTCAGTTATCTATTGCTGCATCAAAAACCACCCACAGACCTAATGACTTGTAACAAACACTAATTCTAGCTCATGGTTTTGAGAGTCAGGCATTCAGCTGGGCAATTCTTCTGTTCCTCATAATGTTGACAGAGATCACACAGTGTTACTCAGCTGAAACCTCATCTAGTCTGAGAATTCCACCTGTTGGGCATGGGGTAGTCACACCTCATACACAGTATCTGACTTCTTCCAGAGGGTGCCTCCCAGGAGAACCAGGTGGAAGCTGCATAGCCTGCCTAGTCAAGCCTTGAAGGTTATGCATTCTGTTAGTCACAAATGAGTCATGAAGGCAGCCCAGATTCAGAGAGGGAGTTAGACTCCACCCCCTTAATGGGAGAGTGGCAAAATAGTATTTTAGAAAAAATATGAACAGTGGACACTATAGTGGCCATCCTTGGAAAATGCAATCTGGCACAATTTTTTGTGATACAGCTAGAATAAGACAGAACAATCATTTCTTGTCACAGCTGAAAACAATTCCAAAGATCTCAAGGAGGGCCTTTCTAGATCTTAGCATTAAATGACTTTGTAGCTACCTATGCCAGTCGCTGGAGAAGGATATCATGTTTGGTAAGGTGGAGGGTCAGAGAAAAAGAGGAAGACCCCCAGTGAGATGGGTTGACTAAGTGGCAGCATCGATGGGGTCAAGCATGGCAACAATTGTGAGGTTGGCCCAGGATTGGGCAGTGTTTCGTTCTGTTGTGCATAGGGTTGCTATGAGTTGGTACCGACTTGATGGTACCTAACAACAATGCATTACCAGTTGAACGTATACCATCTGTTTAGAAAATAAAGCATAACTAAAAGGAACTATGAAATAAAACTCTAATTTTTAAATCAGTATCATGAACACAACTTATTTATATATACAACTTAAAAAATGTGCTATGAATATGTTACTCAAACTATGATTAGAAAAGATCTGGATTCCTAGTCCCCTTGAAATAACATTGGTGACCCACGCAGTATTCAGGCACTTCATGTAGAAAGCCACAGATATGAGCCAATTTCCTTCTTTTACAGATGATAAAACTGAGGTTCAGAGGTGTGAAATGACTTAACAAAGACCACACACACAAATCAGTGACAACATTTGTCTCCACAATCCTGAGACCAGAAGAACTAGATGGTGTTTGCTTATCACTACCAACTTCATTGAAAGGGATCTTGTTAGAAGGTCCTGGATAGAGTGGGAGAAAAATGTAGAACAAAAATCAAAATCATGAAAATAGAGCAGACTTGGTCAGCACTATAGAATAATCCCTGGATGACTAACCGAAAGGTTAGGAGCTTAAATCCACCAGCATCTTCTTGGAGTCACTATGAGTCAGAACCCACTTGACAGCACTTAACAACAAGAACTGGTAGTATAGAGTGATAGAATGCCTTAGTCACCCTGAGAATATGGGCCTTAATCACCTTTCAGGTCTACAAATGAACTCACACCCCTGGCTCAATTTTCAAACAATTAAGTCTATAGGGGAGAAATCAGACACATTCCTTTAAATAATCAACATTTAGGATCAAAAGGCAGCATTTAACCAAGGGCAAAGGTCAGAAGGGTTAAGAAAGAAAAGACTGAACATGAAGAATTGAGGGGATTGTGATCAATGAGATAAAACAAAATTTTTATTATGAATTGTTGAATAGAAAACTGATCTATTCTGTAAACTTTAACCCAATTCACAATAACAAGTTAAAAAAAAAAAGTAACAGAAGAATTTAATCAAGTTACTTGACTAAAATATAAATTTTCTTTCATGGAGGAAAGTTCATGGGTAGCAGTTGTGTGTGTCTCAGAATGTGGTAAACAAGGGAAAGTTCCCATGCAGTTTAGGCAGGTGGGAAGCCAGGAAAGAGAAGGGAGAGGAGGGTTTGCTGTAGGACAATGATGTTCAACATGGAGCCCAAACTGAGGGCTTAGGACCACAGTCTTGGAGGACACCATAGTCAATTGGCATAACATAATCCACAAATATAGTGTTTGACATCCTTCTTTGGTGAGTTGTTGTTAAGTGCAGGTATGTTAGTCCCAGTGGGTTGTTGTGTTTTGTTTTTCTTTGTGTGTATACAACCTGAGGGGCTCATCTCTGGCACTATATTGGACAATATTCTGGTTCTATTCATAATGTTTTCATCTTCCAGAACTATATCTGACAATGTTCCACTGCTATACATAAAGTTTTCAGTGAATAAACATTCAGAAGTAGTATGCCTCTCCTCCCTAATCTATCTTAATCTGGAAGCTCCACTAAAAATTTCCACCATGTGTGACCTCTTGCTGATAGTGGCATAGCTTCCAGCATCACAGTATTATGCAAGCTACCCAAGTATGAAAAACTGACAGACAACTGATGTGACACTGTAGGATAAGCACTGGACTGCTAACCACAAGGTCAGCAGTTAAAACCCACCAGCCACTCCTCGGAAACTATATACAGGGTCGCTATGAATCAGAACCAACT